TTGTGTGTGTAGACCACATCCTTATCCATTCATCCATTGATGGACACTTAGGCTGTTTCCATATCTTGGCTATTGTAAATAATGCTGCAGTAAACGTGGGGGTGCAGATATCTCTTTGAGATCCTCATTCCATTTCCTCTGGATAAATACCCAGAAGTGGGATTGCCGGATCACATGGTAGTTCTATTTTTAAGTTTTTGAGGAACCCCCATCCTGTTTTCCATAGTGGCTGCACCAATTTACATCCCCACCAGCAGTGCACAAGGGTTCTCTTTTCTCCACGTCCTCACCAGCATTTATTATCTCTTGTCTTTTGATAACAGCCGTTCTAACAGGTGTGAGGTCACACCTCATCGTGGTTTGATTTGCATTTCCCTGATGATTAGTTAGGTAAGCACTTAAGTTTGGTCCCAGGAGGAAACTGCTTCTTAGGAATTAAGTCTTAAAAGGTACCCGGTGCTGGCTACCAGGCGTGCAAGCTTGCTAACTTCATTTTGATGTTCTAATACATAAGCAATGGGGAACATCCCCACTACACCGATGCTAATTAAGAACCTGTGATTATTTGGGCTGAACTCAAGTTTGCTTTCAGCCCAGCCCTGTGGGTGGATAAAGTAAATAGGACCCCCAGGAGGACCATTTCCCTCCTCAGAGAAAGAATTGTTTTCAAGCTCTTTAGAAGTCTGTTTCCATCCGACACACTGAGATCTTGCAACCGGCTGGCTCAATAAGTTAATTCAAAGGCATGATTTTTTTCTTTAATTTAAAGTGCTTTTGGGGCATCTGCTATCTGTCTTGGGGTAGATCAAGGATGTTCTCATTTTCATTCCGCTTTCCTAATATTCTTGGGAGTCGTAAAAATTTTAATACTCTGTAATCTGAACATTGCACAAATTTCACCAAACTTTTTTACCAAAGCTTATTACTTACATTGCTGTTGTTGGCTTTTTTGGGGTAGTTTTCTTGCTTTATACTTGAGCAACTTGCGTTTGCATTTACAAGGCCGTCTGGGGATGGCTCGGTGCTTTGGGTATCTCCAAAGAGAGAGGAAAAGGCAAACGGGGAAACCTAAAAAAATGGACCTCCCTGGAGGTGGCGTGAACACGTTTGTCTAGACAATCTCTCCCAGGGGGGAGGGTCCATGTCCTCTGAGGACTGGGGCTTTTCTTGGTAAGGATGAGCTGATGCTTAAGTGAGCACGGAAGGAGACAGGATTGTGCTCTCCGGCTGGTGATTCTAAGACAACATCCCACCTCCAAGACATCTTTGGTTAAGAAAAGGGAATATTGAAATGGGAACCATGAGAATAGTACATCGGAAGTTATGAAAGAAGTGGCTATAATCTCCAGATAGTACAGTGGAATTTTGTAGACGTGGATTAGGGGAATAAGCTGGATCCACGAGCAGGTGAATTAGAACCTGCAGCCGCCCCTGCCCGGCTGTGCCCACGAGGACGGCCGGCCATCGCACGCCAAGCCGGGCCTCGGGGACCGAGTGACCAGGGTCCCAGGGCCTCGGATGCTGGCCGGCCGTACAGGTGTCTCGTGATGGTCTGATCCTTTTAGGAGTACCAGTCAAAGAGAGTGCTTCGGAAAATAAAATGCCTCCGTGGCGTGGAGTAACAGCTATCAGAAAGAAAGAAAGCTGCACGGTGTTTTTAGAACGCCGAGTTCATTCTCTGAGATGCCTGCCGTGGGAGAGAGGCCACGTGGGATCATAGCCCAGGGAAGCAGCCCCATGGAGGGGCGCCTGGGGAAGGAAGTCTCCACGCAGTTGATTCCAGGTGGAGGTCGGGGTCCCGAAGCAGAGCCCCCTCAAGATGCTTTCTGAACACAGCCTACTGTTCCAGGAAAAGTACCTAACTCGAGACGCCGCCCAGAAATACATCCCACGTGTTTGGGAGGGATAGAGGGGCACTCAGAATCCACAAAATGAAAACAAACAGAATCATTCATTTATTGAATTTTCTCACTCCATGCCAGGGGTCTCTTTCTGGCTCTCTCTATCTCTTTATGTCTCTTTCTGTCTCTCTCTCTCTCTCTCTCTTTGTCTGTCTCTGCCTCTCTTTTTCTCTCTGACTCTCTGTCTCAGTCTCTATCTGTTTATCTCTCTGCCTCTCTCTGTCTCTATCTCTCTCTATCTCTTTATCTTTCTATCTTTGTCTCTCTGACTGTCTCTCTCTCTGACTCTCTCTGTCTGTCTTTCTCTCTCTCTCTCACTCTGTCTCTGTCTCTGTCTCTATCTTTGTCTCTCTGTCTCTGACTGTATCTCTCTAAGTCTCTGTCTCTCTCTCTGACTCTCTCTGTCTCTCCATCTCTCTGTCTCTCTCTCTTCTTTGTCTCTCTGTCTCTGACTATATCTCTCTAAGTCTCTGTCTTTCTCTGTCTCTCTGTCTCTGTCTCTCTGTCTCTGTCTCTATCTCTCTCTCTGTCACACACACACACACACACACACACACACACACACAGAACCCTCTCCCTCCATCCCCTTCCACACCTAGTTTTAGGGGCAGGCTCATATCTGCTTCATACAGAGAGAATAGGAGTTCAGGTCTCAACACAGTTGTTCAGTATGTTCCTAATGGCCAAGAGATACATATATATCACCTGCATTTTTGAAAATAGAGATACGTAGGAAAATGTGACAGGTGTAGAGTCATAACTAAACTACTCTCCTGGGAAAATCCCAGTAGCTTGTGGGTCCCTATTCCTTCCTTCTGGAGTGAAGAGAGGGCTGGTCCTCTGACAGGTGCATCCTTGCTCGAGGATTTGCATGAAGGAGATGCAGCTACTGGCAGCTTGCAGAATTTGGCTGTTATGTAGCAGAAAAGCTCTTGCTTCCCCCACGTACAGGAAATTTCTGGCAGTTTCTGTTTCCCGGCAGGAGCCAGAGGGGCAGACATCTGGGGACCTGCTGACTGTGGTCGGGGGACATGTATGGTGTTGGAAGAGGTTTGAGAGCGGTCCTCTCTTTCAGCTGAACCTCCTCCCCACAAGCAATGCCTCTCAGCCTTTCGGGGTCTTAATGGTCCTAGAATTAACCCCGTTAGGTTACCAGGTCCACTGGGACCTGACTCTCCTGACCACTACGGAGGTAGTGGTCGTGGAGAGACTTACAGTGTCAATTCTAGGAGCTCTTTCGTGGTGGAAAACATCTCTGAACAGATAGCCCCCCTAAAAATTATCTCATCTTTTTTCCTAGTGTTAAGTACACTTGTTCATGTTTATTCCAGTGGAAGTTTTTAATTTACATTTCTGTTTATGATTTTTTCACCTGCACGTATAGATGTTAGGGGTCAAGTGGTCCCTACTCCTCCCCTCCCCTTCTGGTGCTCTCTCTCTGCAGATTTTTGTATCAGAACAATGCAAACTTTCTAAAATGCATCAACTCAGCGTTTTTTCGCCCGTGTTCTGAATCTGTCAGTAGAGGTGGGATTGTCTGTTCTTTGAAAGCCTGAAAGAATTGGTTAAAAATATTCTGGACATCGTCCTGTCTTTTCTGCATGCCATTCCCTCGTAATTTTTCTATTTCTCCCATATTCGTTGGTCTCATTAGTCCTGATTTCCCTGATTAGATTGTAATAATCAGTGTTTTTCTCAGGAAAGAATTCATTTCCCTGAGATTTTCATATATTAATTATAAATTTAACATATTATTAATCTATAGCCATGTGCTGCATAATGCCATTTTGGTCCATGATGGATGGCATATACAATGGTGGTCCCATAAGATTAGTACGATATCATCCAGGTGTGTAGGAGGCTATACCATCTAGGTTTGCATAAGTACACTCTGTGATGTTCACACAATGACAAAATCGCCTAACAATGCTTTTCTCAGAACACATCCCCATCATTAAGCGACGAGTGACTGTAGTTAGAATTACAAACCTATAATTTACAAATCTTCTTCACTCCATAGACGCGTTCCTATTTGTAAATTTGCATCTTCAGCCTTGTCAGATTTATTATTCACAGCCGTCTCTGGGCCCCTTTTTCTTTTTTGTCTCTCAATCTGTCAGATGCTCAGAGACATACCCTCAAGTCTCCCGTTAACAGTCTTGGTTCTGTCCATTTCTCCTTGCGTATCCAAGAGTTCTTGAGAAATATCATCGGATGCTGTGTTATTCCGAAGAAAACGCTGCAGGGAATGGCACATAACTATCATGGCTTCTTATCGGTTGAGCGTTGGGCCATTAGTGTTTTAGTCTTGAATTATCCCTATCTTGCGTGAATGGGGCCAGACGTGCTTTATTTTTGCTTGTTTGCCTGATAATGTTTGCCCTTTCTATTTTTAATCCTCACTTAAAAAAAAAAAAAAACTCTATAATCAACGTATAGAGGAATTCTCCTTTTCCACACACTCTTGAGTGTGGTTTTCCAGTAGGGGGCTACCATTTTGGTTCTGTATCATGACCAGCGGCTCAGGGGTTGTTTCTCCTCTTTTAAGCTGCACCCCCTAGCTGTCTCCTGGGACTCCTGTTTTTGCCACATGGACGACTGGTCTGCCTCCTCTTTTCCAGTCATCTGCATGGCAGACATCCTATTTCTTGTCACCTAGGGGTCCATTGACTACTCTCAAAACATGGTAACCTCCATTTCCCTAATTATCCAGACACACGTGAAGGTGTCATTGATGGCCCTCCAGGTAAAATGGAAAGTGTCATCTATGTCTCCCTCTCCCCTTCTCCCCAAGGGGCTTGTGGGGGGGATGCAACCCCTTTTTGGGTTTTATGTGGACGTGGCAGCTGAACTCCTGGCAAGCTGGATTCCCCAAGTCCTTTCTGAGGTCAACCCTGGTGCCTGTGCCCAATGGGGGTGAGGCTTCACGCTCTTAACTTGTTTTGCGTGTTCCTGCTCTGAGGGATGGAGCCCATGAAGAGTTACAGTCTGCAGGGAATGCTCTGCCCTCCCCAGCGGTAGGGCTTGATTTAAGGGCTCATATTCCCTGTGCGATGTCACCCCTCCTCCTCCATGTGCTGCTTCCCCATCCTCCCAGCGATGCCCTGTGGAGGTCAGGGGCTGGAGGGGAGGGGGCAGCTCCTGAATGGATGTAGAAAGCAGATGCTCATGACAAGAGTGGGCAGAAAGGGCGCAAAGCACACTGGCTGCCTCACGAACCAATGATCTCAAAGTGGAACGACAGCGCTCATGCTTCTGGTTGGCTAGGATCCTTTCTCCTCCAAGGAGCAGAGAAGAAGCATCTTCTGGCTTTCCAAAAATCCAATAACATTGCTCTGTTTCTGGAAGCAGAGTGTGTGTGTCCACCAACCCTGTTATCATCGGTTCCAATTATTAGCTTCAGTGTGGACTTTGCTCTTGTACATCCTCGTGTGTGTTTTAGGGGAAAATCAGAACGGCATGTCAGGAATTCCTATCCAGATGGCCCTGTATTCTAGAATGACACTCCCAAGCTCTCTGTTGGGCAAAACTCCCTTTTCCCCAATCTGTCACGGAATGATACTGTTGTAGATAGCATAGAAATGAATTACTAGGAAAATAAAGTTTAGAAACATGCAAAACGGAAGCCCCCAACGTTGGTTTTTTTTCATCAGCTGATTCAGTAAACATAAAATCACTGTCGATTTTTTTTTAAGTTTATAACCACTGTGACTGTCTGAATGTATCTTATGGCAGACCAGTAACAGACAGTTCACAGGATGGCATCCATATGTACACCATACTTTGAGGAACTCTGACCCAGGAATAAGACTATTCCTTATACGTCTTTAATGGGAATAGTGAAAATGCACACTCCCCTGTCCTCGGGGGCTGTGTGACTTGGCACACATAGGATTCATTCTCCACGTCAAAGAAACTGGGGACTGCAGATTATCTTTTTTCTTTTTTTTTTTATCGTGGAAACATTGGTTTATAACATTGTATAAATTTCAGGTGTACATCATTATATTTCGATTTCTGCATAGATTACGTCATGTTCACCACTGAAATACGAATTACAACCCATCACCACACACACGTGCCGAATTATCCCTTTCGCCCTCCTCCCTCCCCCCTTCCCCTCTGGTAACCACCAATCCAATCTCTGTCTCTATGTGTTTGTTTATTGTTGTTATTATCTACTACTTAATGAAGGAAATCATACGGTATTTGACCTTCTCCCTCTGACTTATTTCACTTTGCATAATACCCTCAATGTCCATCCATGTTGTCACAAATGGCTGGATTTCATCGTTTCTTATGGCTGAGTAGTATTCCATTGTGTATATATACCACATCTTCTTTATCCATTCGTCCCTTGATGGGCACTTAGGTTGCTTCCAAGTCTTGGCTATTGTGAATAACGCTGCAATGAACACAGGGGTGCATGTATCTTTACGCATTGGTGTTTTCTTGTTTGCTGGATAGATACCCAGCAGTGGAATAGCTGGATCGTATGGTAGTTCTATCCTTAATTTTTTGAGGATTCTCCATATTGTTTTCCATAGCGGCTGCACCAGTTCGCGAGTGCAGATTATCTTAACATGTCCCTCCCAAGTGAAGGCTAACGTATATGTTCCAAAATATATTCCCTCCCAAGCTCCTGCTTTTGGCTGCCTCTCGGGTGTTGCGATATTTAAAATGTCCTAAAGCAACCACAATCAGCAGAACCTTGCAGATGCATCTCGCCCCTGAGAAGTGAGCCACAGTAGGTGCTGGTCCTTGGTGGGTGGGAGCTGTTCTCCCCTCTGTTCTGAGGTCCTGGGACCACAGACATCGACATGAGCATGTTACCAAGAACCGGGTTGGGGGAGACCCAAAGCAAGCCTTCTGCAAAGCCAGATGTGACAATACAAAGACCATACTGCTGCCGTCTGACCCAGCACACTGCTCTCAGCTCTGAGGGGTTGTGTGGCCTGGGTTCCTCTCGGAAGCGTAGGGTCTTCTTCCAGGCTCACGTGGTTATCTGACAAATTCAGTTCCTTGAGGTTGTCTTAGGTTCTGACTTTCCCACTGGCTGTTATCCAGGGGCTTCTCTCAGCTCCCAGGAGCTGGCCTGAGGGTCTTGCCCATGCATGGCCCCCTGACACCATGGCAGCTTCCTTCTTCAAGGCCAGCGGAAGAATCTCTCTCCCTCTAGTCTGCTAGCAAGAGGGAGTCTTCCACAATGAAATGTAGTCAGGGAAGTGGCGTTCCATTATCTTTGCCGTACTCTGTTGACTGGAGACCAAGTCACACGTCCACGCACGCTCAAGGAGAGGGGGCCGTCATTTTAGGGTACGTTCCCCGCCTTGTACCTTCCGCATCTTGCTGATCCATTGCTACTTCCCAAGTGAGATACAAGTTAACTGGTTTAGAAATCATCTCAGTTTCCGTGGTAGGTTGGAAGATAACCCCGTGTTTCTGTCCCTTTCCAGTGGAGTTTTTATACTGCGATCTGGCGTCTCTGAGCTCTAGCCGGCAGTTCGTCCAGAAGTTCAAGATGAAGAAAATCCCTCTCCACGTCCTGGTCAATAACGGTGAGTTCCAGTGAAATCCAGAGGTTAATTCTGACACAGACACGAACTCTAGCATTCCCATGAGACAAGCATCTCGGGAAAGTGGGATTTCCGGGGAAATTCATGAGTATACGTGCTGTTTCTTGCCATTGCTTTGGTGCGTGGATGTGTTTGGCTTTTGTTACTAGCGTAATCGATTTTAGGATGTTATTTTGAAGTGAGGGTGTGATGATATATTGTATGGAGTCAATACTTTGACTAATGCACTTGTGCTAAGGTGTATTAGAAGCATGCTAAGGGGTGGGTGTTTGCACATGATTCTTCCCCGCAGCCAAAACTCCTCACACAAACATATGGAATCACCATCTCCCCTTCCCCTGCCTTCAGCCTTCTCACTGGTCTATCTTCAGCACAATCCTTTCAGCCCCGCTGAGCTCGTAAGAATGTCGCAAACACTTCTCCTGCCTCCCCATGGAGGCAGACCCCGTCTCCTGCCCACGTCTCTCTTCCCCTGCTGCAGTCAACTTATTTCATAAACATTCATCCAAAGCCTCCACAGTGAGGACGTACAGTCATGAATGTCTCCAAACTGAATAAATACACGCAACTAACCTCTCATAAATATGCCAAAAACTTTTAGAATTTAACACATCCCTTTCGGACTTGGAGACCAAATGGAAATATATAGAGGGAGTAAATAGTAAAATGAGTACAGTGGATGGAATAGACGTCATTCAAACAGTGGACTTCAGGGACTGTATCTTCTTCCCAAGTATTTAAAGCGTTTGTTGAATTATTCGTGTTTTGGATGGCAGAGAAAAAGTTACTACAGAACCCTACTGGTGATGCTGAGTCCCTGTGGATAATCCAGGATGATTTTTGCATCTAAAGATCCGTAACTTTATCCCTTCTCCAAAGTCCCTTTTGCCATCTAAGGGACCATATTCACAATTGCCCAGATTAAGGTGTGGACGTGTCTGCAGGAGGGATGGAGCGTATGTCTTCCTCCTGAGGCTGTAACACTTGTCCGTCTGACTCCAGCTCCCGAAATTTGGTGGCTATCATCTCCTCTCTATTCTCCTTGTCTTATGTGTTTTATCTTTTTCTATAATATTAATGGGGTTGGCAAGCAGGCAGTGGGGTCAGATAGATGAGCTTTTGCTCAATCCACTTGTTTAATTAGAAAGTCTCACTTCAGGGAAAGACATAGATGATAAAACTTTGCGTAGGGTGTGACTCCAATGGCACATGAATGCACAGCAATGTGTCCACGTATGGCTGTGATGTGTGGTGTTGAACAAATAGCTCAACTAACACCATTCCCGGCTACTTAACTGGAGAAGAAACCCTGCATGTTATTAATGCTGGTGGCTCTTCTTGGAAGGTTCAGAATGATTTTAGTTTTTATTTCTTCTCCCTAGAGCTTTATTGATTATTTTTCAAGTTTCCCCAAAGAGTCATACCTTAAACGCCTTTGCAGACATAAATGATTTCCCAGTAAATCACCGTTTGGGATTCCTCCATCTGAGCACTGGTGTGGGCTTCCTTTGTCGAGCATTTATCAGTGTTATAATTGATTAGAATTATAATAGTATAAATCAGCAAAGGTAGCGACGAGCTAGAGGCACCATAGAGATCCTGTCTGACCGTACATCTTATTTCCTCATTATAGTTAACACCCTTGGTAATTAGTGCTCTGCACTTCATCACAGAGCAATTGGGCGATGGCAGGACGTAAATGACATCTTGCCCTTGTGCAGAATTCGTGCGCTTTCATAGACATGCACACGACAGAACTTTGTATCATCTTAGGATCTTTTCTGCATCCTTCTGGCATCCTTTTGGTACAGGTTTTCATCCGTCAGGTGTAGAAAAAATTTTGCAGCTCACATCTGTTACCTCTGTCTGACACCTCTTACTCTGCTCTGGGTCCACAGAATTTTGGTGGGGAGTATGTATGTAAACCACCTTTGCTGGAGTGGGCACAGCTCGATGGTGAAAACACCAGCAGAAGAAGGCTTGTCAATGTGTACTCCCTAATTCACCCTTCACTTTGAGATGACGCCAGTGATGCTACGATCGTCCAGTGTTCTTTTAAACCAAGCATGCATGGCTCTCAGGAAAATAGCAATTTTCAAGAGACCAGGACACAGTTGAATTTGGACCTGGGGGGCTTATCGCTGGACCCTCTCTCTTCTCTCTGTAGAGAAACTCATCCACGTGTTGGATTCACTTCTTCCTAGACTTTCTCCTCCACCCAGAACTTTCCTCTCTGCTCAGGACCTGTGATCTCAGCTCAGAGCCCCAGAGGCACCTCAAGACAACGGATCCAGTGTGGAATTCCTGAGCCCCCACGTGACATTGGCTCTAGGGAAGAATCCATTCCTTGACTTTCTCAGATTCTAGAGGCTGTCTGAATTCCTTGGCTTGTGACCCCGTCCTCTATCTTCAAAGCCAGTAGTGTAGCATCTTCGAATCTCTCTCTGTGTCTCTGACCTCTGATTCCATCATCACACTTCCTTCTCTGATTCTCACCATCCTGCTTCCCTCTTATAAGGACCCAGTAATTGCATTGGGCTCACTCAGATAATTCAGGATCATCTCCCCATCTCAAGATCCTTAATCATATCTGCAGAGTGCCGTTTGCCATGTAAGGTTACCTGTTCACAGCTTCCAAGGTTAGAACATGGGCATCTTTGGGGGTGTTATTCTGTCTACCACGTGGGTAATAGGACATGGACATCTTTGGGGACATTATTCTGTTCACTAAAAAGGGATTAGGATATGCGGCTTGGGGGGTCATTATTCTGTCTACCACACGGGGACTAGAACATGGACATTTTGGGGGCCATTTTCTGTCTACCATACGGGGATTAGGACGTGGACGTCTTTGGAGACATTATCCTGTCTACCACATGGGCATTAGGACGTGGACGTCTTGGGGGACATTATTTTGTCTACCACACGGGGATTAGGATGTGGACATATTTGGGGACATTATTCTACCACATGGGATTAGGACATGGATGTTTTAGGGGACATTATTTTGTCTACCACACGGGGATTAGGACGTGGACATCTTTGGGGACATTATTCTGTCTACTACACGAGGATTAGGACGTGGACATCTTTGGGGGCATTGTTCTGACTACCACACGGGGATTAGGACGTGGACATCTTTGGGGACATTATTCTGTCTAC